CCCCACCCTATGCTGTGATCTCTTTATCCAATGTAGTGATCTTCCTTACCCTATGTAGTCATCTTTCCATCTTTTCCCTACCTATGTAATGATATCCCCACCCTATGCTATGATCTCTTTATCCTATGCAGTGATCTTCCTTACCCTATGTAGTCATCTTCCCATTTTCCTCACCTATGTAATGATATCCCCACCCTATGCTGTGATTTCTTTATCCAATGTATGATCTTCCTTACCCTATGTAGTCATCTTCCCATTTTCCTCACCTATGTAATGATATCCCCACCCTATGCTGTGATTTCTTTATCCTATGTTGTGATCTTCCTTACCTATAGTCATCTTCCCATTTCCCCCACCTATGTAATGTTATCCCCACCCTATGCTGTGATCTCTTTATCCTATGTAGTGATCTTCCTTACCCTATGTAGTCATCTTCCCATTTTGCCCACCTATGTAATGTTATCCCCACCCTATGATGTGATCTCTTTATCCAATGTATTGATCTTCCTTACCCTGTGTAGTCATCTTCCCATTCTTTCCCAACCTGTGTAATGATATCCCCGCCCTATGCTGTGATCTCTTTATTCTATGTAGTGATCTTCCTTGCCATATGTAGTCATCTTCCCATTTTCCCCACCTATGTAATGTTATCCCCACCCTATGCTGTGATCTCTTTATCCAATGTAGTGATCTTCCTTACCCTATGTAGTCATCTTCCCATTCTTTCCCAACCTATGTAATGATATCCCCGCCCTATGCTGTGATCTCTTTAATCCTATGTAGTGATCTTCCTTACCCTATGGTAAGTCATCTTCCCATTTTCCCCACCAATGTAATGTTATCCCCACCCTATGCTGTGATCTCTTTATCCAATGTAGTGATCTTCCTTACCCTATGTAGTCATCTTCCCATTCTTTCCCAACCTATGTAATGATATCCCCGCCCTATGCTGTGATCTCTTTATCCTATGTAGTGATCTTCCTTACCCTATGTAGTCATCTTCCCATTTTCCCCACCTATGTAATGATATCCCCTCCCTATGCTGTGATCTCTTTATCCTATGTTGTGATCTTCCTTACCCTATGTAGTCATCTTCCCATTTTCCCTCCAATGTAATGTTATCCCCATTCTATGCTGTGATCTCTTTATCCAATGTAGTGATCTTCCTTACCCTATGTAGTCATCTTCCCATTCTTTTCCCACCTATGTAATGATATCCCCACCCTATGCTGTGATCTCTTTATCCTATGTAGTGATCTTCATTGCCCTAAGTAGTCATCTTCCAATTTTTCCCTACCTATGTAATGATATCCCAACCCTATACTATGATCTCTTTATCCTGTGCAGTGATATACCCTATGCAGTTATTTTCCCTTCTCATGTAATGATATCCCCACCCAATGTTCTGACTAGTGGGCATTCTGTTTCAATAAATGTTGTTCCAAAGCCATATCTGTTCATTTAAAAAAAATTATAATATTTTATGTAATGCAATTGCCAGTCAATAAGTCAATTTATTTATTGGGGTTATATTGATTTTTATATAGCTTTAACTGTTTCCTGTATGATTTATCACATAAAAACCATAAACAAAAAAATTAAGTATTTCCATTGATTTTTTGATTTTTGCATGCCACCCATCCAACAATCAAGTATTGTTCTATTCTGAGAATCACAGCTTATTGCGTATGCAAAGATGACATCAGTGTGATTGGTGTCTTCTATCACAATGTATGATTGGAGTTGGCTGTATTTACTTTTATCTACCCTTCACCCTATGTATCTTCTGTTTTTTTACTATTAAATTAGTTTCACTGTACAAACACTTTGATGCATTGATTGAAAGCATCCAGTACTACTATCTTTTCATCAATAACAATTATTAAAATAACACTTTATTATCACCGTAAAGAAATTACAATTTTTTGGGGGCTCTCTGAGTAATTAAGTTAAATTTTTAAACATGAACACGAATTAATTATCATAAGTATCAAAAAACAAAGAAAGTTACTAAATGCTTCTTTTCAAGTTTGCATTATCAATGTATTGGATCAGTGTTTTCAGTAAATGTGTATATGATGCATTGATGATTGTCTTGAATGTTTCTGTTTTGTCCATCTCGTGTAAATTAGTAAATATTTTGTTAAATTCATAGTAAAGAATCTTTCTTTCAGAAGAGTAAGCTTTGCTTTACAAGATGTCATGAAGTGCATTTCATCCTCCAATACATTGCATGTTTTGTATAGTCTTTTGCTGAGTGGTGCTTTTGGACGAGTATGTCTTCCTACTTACTTATCTTACCATCGTTATATACTGCAAAAATACCTTTCAAGTTATCTACGGCTGTATCTAGTCCATTGTTATCACAATCAATCCTACAAATACAAGTAAACTGACCATAGCTGTCATAATATTTTATGTAATGCAATTACCAGTCAATAAGTCAATTTATTTATTAGGGTTATATTAATTTTTAAATAGCTTTAAATGTTTTCTGGAATTTATTTCTCCTGAATATATAATATATTTTCACTGATTTATCGCATAAAAACCATAAACATAAAAGTATTTCAATTTTGTGTGTGTGTTCCAGCCATGCGACAATCAAGTAAGTGTACAGCTGATTGTGTATGCAAAAATGACATCACATCAGTGTGATTGGTGTCTTCTATCACAGTGTATGATTGCAGTTGGCTGTACTTTTACCTACCCTTCTTATGGAAATACTGTATATGTTCCCTTTGTTTTTGTGGGTGTATATTCCATTTTGTAGGAAATTAGCTTCACTCAACAAACACTTTGATGCAGTTATTGTCCCTATCTGCTACAGCTATTTTACCCTCACTACACACAGCTACACCACAGGGATAACTCAGTTCATCGTTATCACAATCAATTCTACAAATAAACTGACCATAGCTGTCATGCTTAGTGACTTTATGTTGACTACTCACATATACATTATTATTATTATCTATAGCTACTCCCCTAGGATAGTCAAGTGTATTGCTGTCACCAGTGGTAGAGAATTCAAACATAAACTGGTCATCAGAATTAAATACCTGAATACGATGATTGTTAAAATCAGCCACATACACCATCCCTTTACTGTTAATAGCTAATATACAAGGTCCATTTAACTCTCCCTGTTTATCTCCCTGTATTCCAAGTGAGATGATGTATCTCCCTCCCTGTGTATATTTCCTAATGTACCCTTTACTGCACTCACTCACATACACATTGTTAGTAACAGGATTGATTGCAATTCCAAATGGATCATCAGTTTCAGAGCTTCCAAACTTTCTAATCAACTTCCCGTTTTCATCACTCACAACTATTTGTTTGTTATTGTCATCTGTCATAAAGTATTCATTATCATCTGATATTGCTACATCACATGGTGTGAATGGCTCTGCAAACTGATCAGTAAATTTAAATGATTGTTTGTAATTTCCGTCTCTGTCATGTATGACAACTCTATGGTTACCCCTATCAGATATTACAAAGTCACCATGTTTATTTATGGCGAGTCCATGTGGAGACTTGAGCTGTTTTTCTCCCACTGTCTGTACCAAACCTTTTATAACAGAAATATGGAATGGGGATCCTGGTATTTGTTGGTTACCAATCGTCATGGCAACTTGCTGTTTTCCTTCTATCTTTCCTGTTATCATCACATGATGTGTCCCATTGCTATTTTCTGTAACATCAATATTTTCCCATGATGCATCAGGTCTCCTTATCTTCACCTGGACATCTTGACAGGGAATGGTCTGTTTTCCTCTGACGTCTCTGGTTGTGATGATCAAGTTGACAGATTCACCTTTCTGGAGTTGTTCTGGGATGTTTTCAACTGTACATTTGAATGGACAGGCATCAGATTTGACCACTCCTAGTAATGATTCTGCACCAAGGTCACTTCTGGACTGGAACTCATTGGTCTCATGACTGATTGGTGGTTTTGTTTCCATGGCAACGATTTGCATAATTTGCTTATTAGTTTCAGTCCTGGTAGACAGCAGATGAACAGCATTCCCATGATGCATCAGTGTTTGGAGGTAATGATGTGTACTGACTATGTTGCCATGGTGAAACTCTATCTGATCGATGTTTATTGCTGCTTCTTTTAATCCACTCATAGCACGTTCATCCAAGTCATCTATCAGCATCTTCTCTTCTCTCTTTATTCTTTCTATCAATTCCTTTGCTCTTCTTCTAACTTTCTTTTTCTCTGCCTCACACTGGTTTTTGATTTCTTCTCTTGCAGATTCAGCAGCAGCTTTTCCTTCATCCACTTGCTTCTCTTTCACTTTTAACTTTTCTAACATTTCCTTCACTTGTGTTTTATATTCCTCTGCCACCACCTGTAAGTCTCTATGGACATGTCA